TGAGGGAGATAGATTTGTAAGTCCAGGAAGAAAGTGAATGTGTTTGTCTGAGTTTCCCAAAAGGCTCCTCAGCCATGGGGTTTGAGAACCACTTCATTTGTAAGGGCTCCCCAGAGACACTGTGGGGAGGAGGATGTGACCCAGATGGTTTCTAAAGGCACCTGGAGCTTAGTCCTGCATGCAGCTGGTGGTCGGTGGTGTCCTTGGTTGGCTGAGGCTGTGGGTGGTCGAGGCTGTGAGTGGCTGCAGGGTAAATAACCTGAGAGCACCTCAGGCTTCCTCCGCAGCAGCAGAGCCTTACTCTGCAGGCTTAATCTCCAGAATAGAAGCCAGGCAGGCTGAGGTGTCCCCAGGCATGCAGAGCCGGAAGCTCAGGGTGTGTGGGTAAGGCACAGACAATCTCTGCCCACATTGAACATTCTGGGGAGACTGAGGTCAGCCCTGAAGCTGGGTTTCAAGGATAAAGAGAACAGATGACCCCTGCCCTCTCAGAGTCACAGTCAGGTAGTGAGTACTGCAGAGAAAGTGATAGCAGGAAGGAGGCAGAAATGGATGGACTGAGCAAAGTGGACCAGTGGGAGGACCGCTCTGGAGGGGTGCCCTTGAGCAGGAATAAAAGAATGTTCCAGGAAAGGAAGGGCAAAGTCCACGGCAGGACGAGAATGACCAAGTGCAGGGAGGCTGGCGTGGCTGGGGTGAGGTGAGGGAATGGCAGTGTTATGGTTTGTGTCTGGGTGTCCCCCCAAAGCCTCATGCGGCCATGGGGCAGGCTTTTAGAGTTGATTGATTATGGGTGTGAGAGCTCCAGCTGCCCTGGGGTGGATAGTTTGCATACATAAGGGAGAGGAAGAGGCTGCTTGAGGCCATTCCTAGCTTTTGTGTTAGTTGCTTTTGCTGTGTTCGGATGCCATGAGCTGTAGCCCTCTGCCATGTGCCACTCTGCCTTATAATCTGCCAAATACAGACTGAAACCTCCACAAACTGTAAGCGAAATAAACCTTTCCTTCCTTAATTTTGGGCGTCAGATATTTTGTCCCAGCAACGAGAGAAAAGTAACCAAGACAGGCAGGAATTAGACAGAGATAGTGAGGAGCTGCAGGCTCCTCCTCCCCACCCTTTAAAGGACCTGGCCCTTTTGGGGAAGCCAGTGAAGCCAGGATAGGAACAGGCTCCCACGATGTCCTAGCAGGATATTGCCAGCGGACAGCCAGCAGGGCCGGGGCGGTGGTGGGAAGACCCGTCGGGCGGTGCAGCGGTGCCGTTAGAGGTGGGGCGCGTGGGAGGAGGGACGCTGCAGATGCTATCTGAAGGTAGATCGGGCTTGACCTAGAGTAGTGACTGTAAGAGACATTCAACACATACACCCGTAAGTAAAGGTGTTCTGATCCCCACAGGCTGTTCAGGGAAAGCCTGGGATGCCACGAAGGGAGGTGACAGCCCATCCTCAAGTGGTGAGCTGGGCTCTGAAGGGAGGGGAAAAGGCAGCAGGGCAGGGACAGGGAGAAGCATCTGACCAAGGAAAGCTGACGCTTGGCTGAGGAGGTACGGCCCGTGGACTGGAGGTCGAGACCGTCCACAGCCTCTCGTCCCCACCCTGGCCTGTTACCCACCCAGAAGTCCTCTGTGGCCGTCCCAGCCCACTCCCATGCCAGCGACACAGCCAGGCGTCCAGCGGCCTCTTCTCCAACCCCGTTATTCATCACCCAGACTGTTGGTGACGCAACGGCTCTGTGTCCTTTGGCAGCAAGGCCTGCAGGTGGCAGTGTGGAGCGGCTCAGTGTGTTTGTAAGCAAACCTTAGGGAAGGCCACTTGGGGTGGGACAGCTGCACAAAGATACCTGTCTGCTCTTACCTGGGGCTGGCTCAGGCAGGGGCAAAACCCGTCCTCACCCTCAGGCCCCGTCACTGAGCAGGCAGCCCTCTGGCACCGAGTGCCGCTGGTGTGGCCAGCCCGGCTTGCTCTGGACTTCATGCGCTGGCCTCTCCTTCCCACCGCCCCACGCTGCCTCCCTCTGTCCCTCCTCAGCTCCTGGGAACGGGAATCTCCTTCCCTGATGTCCCTCCAGACTTCATGGCTTGATTTCAGACCTGGGCTTACAAGTATTGAATGCAAAAGAAGTACTTTTGTCTCTGTATCCCTTTAGCCTGACTGTGTGCGGTATCTTGTCTCCATAGCCAGGCTAAAGTCATAGCACACAAAATATTAAATGCTGCGACCCACGCATGAGAGTGACAGATGCATCCTGGGTAACAGGCCCCCGGCTCTGTCTCGGAGGGCCGTCGGCTGTGTCAGGGCACCTTCCCCATCTGCAGGGTTGAGGGCCAAGGGAGGGAGGAAGGCTGGCGTTGAAGAGGCCAACTGGGCATGCGCTGCAGGTGAGACCACACGCTGCAGGGCAAACTGGGTGTTCACCACAGCTAGTGCAAATGGCAGCTTCCGCAGGCGTAGTGCTTGTCCACGTGCCAAGCTCCTCAGGCCCATGAGTCAGCAGTGCCTGAGTTTTGTTTGTGTTTGGGGGTTCTTTTGGGGGGGATGTTCTTGTGAAGTTCCTGATAAAATTGCTCTTTGTGCCTCCTCATGATAATGTTTTTCTAAATCAGAAGAGAGTTTCATAGTTTGTATTCTCATCTCAAGCTTGGGCTTCCTGATAAGTCTTTTAAATTTAGACACAGACTAGAATGTTTCTCAATTTGGAATTGCCCCGGGCCTGGCTGGGCCCACCGTTGAGGGGCCTAATGGAACCCGACTGGCTAACTGGCTCCTTCTCACAAATCCGCCTTCAACTTCCTCCCACCCTCGGCTGAGGGGGAGAACAGTCTCTGCGCCTGCGCAGTTCGTGTTTGCCTTCGTAGATCTTCAGAGTTTGCAGTGGCCCCGAGTTCACATGGGCCTCTCCTTGCAGTGCCAGCAATGGCAGGAAGTGTGGGGACTCAGAAAATGATACCCCAGACGTGCTGCTTTGGACCCTGAGAGCACTGGGGAGCAGCCTAAGGACCAGATCTGCCGGAGAACACAGCTGGCTTCAACTCTACTGACATACCTCACCAGTGGAGATCAAACTCACATCGCAGAGGCCGAGAGTCAGACTCCACACCCCATGCCCAAGGGGCTTTTCCCAGGCCACTGTCTGTGCTCCAAGTTGTTTCTCCCCCGTGAAAATCAGTTACTCCTCCTCTAAAACTGCCCTATCCTGCCATTCTCACCCCATGTGAGGAGCGGATTCAGCCGCACTCGCCCGCTCCTCCTTGCGCTTTGTATCTCGCATAGCTCCCGCATACGTGTGCAGTTAGGTGAACATTTCTGCCTCCTGTCCTGCTCCTCTGTCACCAGCGTGTGTGCAATGCAGCAGACTCAGTTACCAAACCTTCAGAGGGAGAGTCTGAACTCCTCACTAAGCACAGCCGTAGTCCACACTCAGCCCCAAACACGAATGCCAGGCCGTCTCTCCGCCACGTCTCCATGTCTCCACTTCAGTGGTATGCGTAGCGCACAAGGGCATCCGCTCGAGCCCTGAGAGTTGATCCTACTCAGATCAGTTTTTCGTTGGTCAGAGAAAAGCAAGTATCGCCCATCAGCACAGCATCTGCTAGGCATAGCCAGGTTTCACTGCTTTGCTCATTCAGCTGAAACACTGAGCGCAGATCCTGTGCCAAGGATTTTGCTGAGGTTGGAAATCCAGAGATTGCTATCGGGGGTTCGTTCTGCAAAGGTACAGTCTTCCCAATAAAGCCCAGGAGACAGTGGCTTATTCGGTAAGTGGGGTGAAGGGTGTGGGTGCTTCAAGAGAGAGCATAGACGATTGCCCAGAAGGCTTAGTGGCTGCCAAAGAAAAACCTGCAAATCTTACGTTTCCCCCGGAGCAGAGAACCAGCCCACCAGTGCTTTGGTCCCTAGTGAAGCCCCTCGAGTGCCGTCGTTACCTCCTTTCCGCCGTCTCAGTCATTTATTCACAAAGCTGTTGCCATATGTGATGTCTGTGAACTGCTTGAGACTGCAAAGCCCAGCACCAGTCAGATGTGCTGCACTGGGAGGGAGGGGGCCTCTCTCGTGAGAAGTGGAACCTCAGCAAGAGTCCTGCCTCTAGGCTCGGGGCTGTGGTTGTGAAGGTTCAGCCAGCTGCAGCTCCTGGCTCTGTCAGCACCTAATGTGTTCTGCAGCCAGCTGCCTCACAGGCAAACACTCAGCATGCAGACTGTGGCGGTGGGTGGGATTCTGCACCTGCTCCAGCCTTCTCAGCTTCTCCGGGGGCCTTTCTTCCTGACTGTCCAGCTGTTCTTCCCCAGGGGACCCTATTTACCTCCCCTTTTCTGCTGTGCCTTCTTGTGTATCCTCATTGCCTTGGAGGACTCCGACTCAGATTCCCCATCTAGGGCCATGGTGTGACATGAGTGCCGTGTATAAAAACTACTTTTGATAGCTGAAGCACTGTTTACCAGGTATTCCTCAGGTGTGAAGGGCACAGTGTATTTCAAGCACAACCAGATTCCCAGACACATCACCATTTCTTTTCATGAGTTCAACCCCTGACTTCAACCTGTTCTTCCTACCGTGCATTTGAAAGCAGCACTAAGTCATCCTTACACCTTGCCACTGGAGTATATCTTCTTCAGGGACATTCTTCTCTCTTTTCAGCTGGGTACAAATTTCCTTGGTGCTGGTTTATTTTAAATTTTAAAACCTACAAATGAAAAAAAAATCCAGTTTGTTTCCTCTACTATGTTAAACAGTCTCAAAGCATTATTTTCCCCAAGAAGTCTACTGTCCCAGAATTAGAATCAACCTGCCCTTGGCGGATTGGTACGGTCTGCGTCTTGTTCACCTGTGCAGAGTTGTCCCGTCATAGGGAAGGGCAAGTTTCTGCAGTTTTGTAGGCCTTCCCCATAGAGTAAGCACAGCCACTGATGTATGACCACGTGTGAATCCTTCGCTCTCAGATTCTTTTCTCATCCCATCTTGGAAAAATGACCAGTGGCTTTTCTTGTTTGTGTTTGTTGTTTAGAAAGCCAAACTTGGCCCTGCTGGTAACAAAGTAATTAGTCCTTCGGAAGACAGGAAACAACCTTCCAATAACCTTGACAGAGTGAAGCTCACGGACTTCAATTTCCTCATGGTGCTGGGGAAGGGGAGTTTTGGGAAGGTAAGTGGAGAGGCTTGGGCAGACAGTGTTGGATTGGTTTTGTTCTCACTGAGGTTTCCACAACAACCCTTTATATTTCCATGCTGTTCGTACACATTCTTCAGATGCCTCCTACCTCATGTTCTTAGCGAACAACTGCTCCCAAAAAGCTAGAGCAGGCTCACGTGTGCCACCATTTTCCAAAGTTCCAAGCAGAGGGGATGCCCCAGGCGCTGTTCGAGTGAACCAGCACACATGTCAGCACACGTAATCCTTAAGAGCTTCCTCCGTGGGGCCATGTAGCCATCGGCCTGGGCGTCTTCATTTGCCTTCCATGGCCCCAGATACCAAGATAGAGCCGGGGAGAGATTTCCATCCCATCTTGTTTTCTCTGGACTTGGGAGACTCTAAGAGCTGTTCACATTTTACCTTAAAGAGATTCCCAGAAAAACATGCGTAACTCCAGACTAATCCCAGTAAAGAATGCTGAGTATTCTTTTTAGCAGCCAAAATAGCATCACCATGTGGAAATTTTCCATACAGTGTACAAATTTTAACAATTTAAAGAGGTAAATAAGGGTTGGAGGAATTTAAGTTACAGTGATATGCAATATTTCAATATTTGTACACAAATTTTGTGTTAGCATTCCATCACTGTAACAAAATATCTGAGGCAACTGACTTACAAAGAATAAAGTTGTACTTTGGCTCATTATTTTGATGGTTACAGTCCGTGGTTGAATCCCCTGCTTTGAGCCTCTGGCAAGGCAGCACGTCATGATAGAAATGCGTGTTAGGGCCAAGTGCTCCCCTCATCAGCCAAGAAACAAAGAAACAAGAGGAAGAGACCAGAACCTCACAATCCCTGGGGCACGGCACACCCCCAGTTATCTAAGGACTCCACAAAGCCCCTACAAGGACTTCAGTGCTCCCCAGAAGCACCCTGGGACCAAGCACTTAACTCAGGGGCCTTCAGGAGACACCACCCATATTGAAACCATAGCACAGTGTTTAGTACTTTTCTGTCACACACTTACAGATGTGCATGCACTGCTGCTGAACCATCGTGCCCCGGCCTGCCTCCCCCTCCTAGCCCCAACCCAGCCCCCAGGAGCAGATTCTGCTGGGAAATGTTCAGCTTGTGCATGTTCTGCTCCCAGGTGATGCTTGCTGACAGGAAGGGAACAGAAGAACTGTATGCGATCAAAATCCTGAAGAAGGACGTGGTGATTCAGGATGATGATGTGGAGTGCACCATGGTGGAAAAGCGGGTCCTGGCCCTGCTCGACAAGCCCCCGTTTCTCACACAGCTGCACTCTTGCTTCCAGACCGTGGTGAGGACCCTGCGGCTGTTCATGCGGTGCAGCACCCAGTCTGCCCTTAGGGCTGCACCTGAACCAGAGCACCCCAGCTTCCCCGAGGAAAGGTGGAAAGGGCCGCCAAGCAGAGGCGACAGGGGCAGTGATCCCCTCCTGCTCACTGCAGACTTGGGGCATATGCTCTCTGTGATGCCCCCTCTCGTTAGCGGTTTAGCATTCATTCCATGTAATTCACCACACACTCACAGTTCACCTTCTGTATCCTTGGTTCTGTAGTCACAGGTTTCACCAAGCATAGATTGAAAAAAAATTTTAAATCACATCTGTACTGTACATCATCTTCATGTCACTATTGTGTGAACAATGCAATATACAAACTATTTGCGTAGCTTTAGCATTGCATTAGGTATTCTAAATAACCTGGAGATGATTTAAAGTATACAGGAGGATTGCATAGATTACATACAAATACTACATTTTATGTAAGGGACTTGAGCATCTGAGGATTTGGTATTCCTGGGTAGTGCTGGAACCACTTTCCCCACAAGTCCTAAGGGATGGCTGTATATAAAGGTTTTCTTTATACCAGGTACAATGCTGTACAAAAATAATAAAATAACTCACAGTCCTGGCTTTTTAAGACCATTGGTTCTAATGGCGTTAGAACATTAAAAGACTCCGTTTCAGAAAACCACACGTTCTTGTTTAATGACAGACATCAGGAGTGGCAAACCATGACCTGTTTTGTATAGCCTGTGAGCTCCAAGAGAGGTCACAAAAAAAGAAATCCAAGCAGTATTTCATGACACACGACACTTACTAAAAATCACATTTCTGCATAGATGTAGTTCTCTAGGGACCCAGCCATGCTTCTTCAATTACCTGTCACCTACTGCTGCTTTCATGCTACCAAGACAGAGGTGACAGTTGCAAGACACCCAAAGCCTAAAATATTTACACCTGACCCCTTATAGAAAAAGTTTGCTAACCCCGGTCACAGAGTTAAACTATCTAAACACAGTGCAAAAGAAAATCCCAAAGCACTGATCCGCTGGTGGTGGGGTTTAGAAGTATTTTATAAGAATTTTATTTACGATACCTAATGCAATGTTAAAGCTATGCAAATAGTTTGTTATTGCATTGTTCATACACTAGGGACATGAAAATGATGGACAGTGCAGATGTGATCTAAAATGATGTACAATCCAGATGTCATCTAAACGCCAGAGTAAGGCATTCTCAGACGGGCTTTTCCCGCCCAGAAGCTGACCCTTTGAAACGTGGCTCAATAATCTAGCTATATGTTACCATTAGGATGATTACCATTCTAAACTGGCCAGGGTCAGAAATTGACTTTGTGTTTTACGTCTCCTTTTCAAACACCTTGGGCGGCGCTCGCCGAGCTTTTGAGTGGTACAGTCCCCAAATGCAGGGCAGCCACACTGAGTGCCAGGGTGCCCGGGGAAGCTGCAGAGCCTGGTGCCTGTCGCTGCGTGTCAGCCTCACCCTGGCCACTAGCTTACTTGTGCGCGCTCTCGGCCGCGCCCTGACTCTGGAACGAGGCAGTGCCAGGGACAACTGAGCAGCGAGATAGGAAGGGAGAGCCGCAGCTCTGAAACCCAGGGTCCTTAACCCTGCTTGTGTAGATGAAGCTCTGGAAAGCTTGTGCAGCGAAGAAACAAAGATGAAAGTAAAGTTCATAAGAGAGAAGCTAGAGGGGGAGCTCCCCAAGCTGTTTTCTAGCTGTTAGTCCGGCTTCCTCCCTCTCTCCCTCCCTGTCTCTTTTTCTTTTCCTTTCTTTCCCTGTGCAACACTTTAACAACCTCCGTGAAAGTGGGGATGTCTTCTAGAAGAAAACTGAAGTCAGCTTTTACCATGGTGTGCTGTGCTGTTAGTTATCTCACTGTTAAATTCTTCAGTCTCTCCCATCCATCCCAGCATAATGTCTGCATAAATATGCAGACTTATATGGCTCTTTGATGTATGCCCTTTGTGGGGCCAACACTTAGTATACCAGTGACAGAGAAAATATAAAAGATATTTGGGCACATTATGGCTGCAAAAGAACATTTGATTAGCCTCTCCATTCATGGTGAGAGCCTCTCCCTCTCCCCCACCCAGGGAATATCAGTAAGCATGTATAATTTATAAGGCCAGTCCAGCCCAAGAGATGTGTTTTCAGGAGCATCCATTTAAACCAGGTGCTGCATCAGTACAGCAATGCCTCCTAGACATTTTAAGTCAGCTTTTATGCATTCACACCATCGAGAAAACTGGTTAAAATGAAATGATTGGCCCACCCTTTCCCTAACTTGGAAATATATGTATGTGAAAAAAAGAGAAGAATATTGAGACCCTTACTATAATAGGAAGCACACGTAACCAGGAGGCAGACATGTCAACAGAGAGCCATTAGTTCAGTTATGTAATGACCCTCATGCGAGAGGGTGGACTACTTATTCTTCCACTGGGAAAAATTGTGAAGAGATGCAGACTAAGCAGATCTGGGAAGGCAGCTCCACTTCACCAATACGAAAGCAAAGCAGAGCCTCTGCGCTAGGGAGGAGCCTCGCTCACGTGTGCACCTTGCTCTGCAGGATCGGCTTTACTTTGTCATGGAATACGTCAACGGTGGGGACCTCATGTACCACATCCAGCAAGTAGGGAAATTTAAGGAGCCACAAGCAGTGTAAGTACATTTTTAAGTCCTGTGAATCAGACAACCCTAAGCGCCCATCTGGGGACTTTCATTGGATGAAAGGGACCTGGGTAGCTCTGCTCTGTTGAGGTTGAACGCTGTAACTTCCCAGCGGACAGATGTATTAACAAACCCATCCAGATGTTTTCTAAGGAGTAGTTTATTCATTTCCAGGAAAGTGGAGATGTCGTGTATCCCTGCATCACCTGAGTCCACCCGCAGGGATGGAGTGTTTCACTCATTTACTGCACAGACCCTGGGGATGCAGAGCAGTGGGGTGCACCCCCACTCTGGGGCACTCACACTACCCTGGCACTGGAGAGGTCACTCGACTCACTGCTTAACTTCGGGAGGTGTGTGCAGGAAACCACGCAGGCTCCCCAGAACTGGGGAGTGACCGCAGCATGTCCTCAAGGAATGCACAACCCAGAGAGGAAGGAAGAGCCCGCCAAGGAGAGGGTGTGAGAAGAGGCAGAGCTAGCCCAGGGCATGGCCTGTGGCTCCTTGTGTGCAGGAGGCTGTGTGAGATGGGGAGGAGTTGGCAGGGGCCACAGATGCGGATCCCACGGGGAGGCCGCTGACACAGAGGCATCAGAAAGGGCCCCATGGGACCGACTCCACCGACCTCAGTTCCTACAGAGCCCTGTGGCTGAGGAAAGGAGAAAGGATTGCAGGAAGGTAGGGGATCGCTGAGGATCTTTTTATGGCAGAAGAAATGGAGCCAGAATTAGAGCTACGGCTGGAGCCCAAGAGAAACAAGTGTCCCTGGCAGACGTTCTGGAGGGACATAAGCAGAGCTGGGTGACTGTGGAGAAAAGACAGAAACCTCTCTTTACGTGATCCCATGCTAGGTTTGGGTGAAGGCGGAGGGTGATCTCGGCATGGAATGTTTCACCGAGTTGGGCCTGGGGCGTGGGCATCCAGCATGCAGACATGGATGGGCTCCAGGTGAAGGCGGAGGAGTTGTTCGTGGGGTGTGGAGGGGACGCTGATACCTCAGACATCGTCCTGCTTCTCGGGGCCTGGAGAGTCTTAGGGAGCTCAACAGAAGCAAGGCCGAGCTTCCCCCAAAGGTGTATAGTGCCCGCCCTAGTTAGTCATTACTAATCATTAATAAGATGTAATCATTAGTAAGGTTTTGGGAATGTGCAATCTAAAACAGCAATCCGAAGAAATGCTGACCTGTGTGGGATTGTCTGCCTTCCAGAATATTAACTGAAGGCACGATCAGGGTTTGTTGGTGGTAAGCTTTAAAAATAAAAAGGGGGATTTCTTTTTGCTTTTATTTTTACTAAACAAAGTATTTTTAGAAAGATTCTTATCCCCTCTCTTAGAAGACTTTTAGACAAGAGCAGCATTAAAATGTTCCAATTGTGAAATAAAGCTTGATAGCACAGAGCTATAAAGAACAGGTAGCAAAAAGCCACTTTATATTATAAAGCAACACAAAGTGCCTTATCTAGTATTCATTCATTCTGTGTGTATTGTAGAAAACTTTTAAAAATATACAGAAAAAATGAAAATAATGTAACAACCACGTATAATCCCATCTTTCCTCCCTCCCCCACCTCTCCTTCTCCTGCTGCCTTTTATTGTTTTTTTTTTTTTTGGTTTTTTGGTTTTTTGGTTTTTTCTCCGGTACCAGGAACCGAACTCACGACCTTGCGCTTGCCAGGCAGGCGCTTTTGCCGCTGAGCTAAATCCCCAGCCCCTCCTGCTGCCTTTTAGAGGTGGCCCCTATGCAAAGCTTGGTGTTCATCGTCAGGGAGTTCTGTTTTCTGCTCATATAGACGTGTGTGCTTGTTTTAAGCCTCCTGAGTGTGATATTTGCCCAGGCGCAGACTTGTGGCTTCTCAAACTTCAAAGACCTTAAAAGCTATGCAAATTTTATAACATCCTCTGCATTTAATCTGAGTTTCAGATATTAACCTATTAATGATTTTGAAGTAATGGTGGTAGCTGCCATTAAATATTATGAATTACTTAACAGGACGACCTCAGGTATGAATCATCATGTGTTCCATTAATTCCAGCCCTTTGAAGAATGAATAAACCAGCTAAACAGTTCATCACACACTATACTTTGTCTTCCAGGGAGTAATTGTATTCTCAAATGACAGTATAGTTTGTCCATGAATAGGAAAGTAGAATTTTTCTCCCCTGTACCATATCCCTGACATAGAATGGTCTAAGAGGGATCCACTATTTAAGTGATTATATTAGGAATTGCGTCTTAGGTGGTAAATTACCTACCCATTCTCCCCCAAGAAGAAAAAGAAGCCTGTCTTGTTGACTTACTGACTGGGCTTTTCCTGGGTGAGCTGGCATGATGGAACGGCAGAGAGAAGAGCTGATGATCAGAAGAACATGTGCAGGGTGACGCTCGTCTCAGAAAGCCTAAAGCTCTTGCGCTCTTTTATCTCTTTGCCTGGATTTGAGACTAAAAACGTATCCAAAAGTCCAAAGAAGCAAGCCAGAAACCTGAAGCACATTTTCTTTTGCAGATTCTATGCAGCAGAGATTTCCATTGGATTGTTCTTTCTTCACAAAAGAGGAATCATCTATAGGTGTGTATAAAAGATCTTCTCACAGCATCACAAAGGACAGGTTTGCCAGGCCCTGGTGAGCATGTAATTCTAAGACAGCGACGTCAGACATGGAGATAATAATCCCCCAGGAAACTCAGACCCATTGGCATCCACCTTTCTCTGCAGCCTTTTGGCAAATCAGAGCCACCCTCTGATAAGATTTTACATCTCATTTATACTTTACAAAAGAAAACATTTTTTTTCCTCCACCGGCAGCTCCTTCCTCTACATTTTATTTAGAACGGAGGTCAGGGAGCAATGGAAACCAAATTGCTATTATAGATACTCGGCAGGGAAAGAACATGAGGAACTGAGGAGAAGCAAGGGAAAACTATTGAATTAAATTCTTTTAGTTGTAGGACACAGTGAAATTCTGATGCCAAAGGAGAAAGAATGTCTTTCAGAAGTAATTGAAGAGTAACTGAAAGAACACTGGTACAGGCATGATAAAGGGACAAGTGAGGTGGTCCTACACCCAGAGATTTGCAAACCCTCTGCAGGATAGTCATATACCAAATGACCAGGATCTCTTCAAACCCAGTAAGCTGGAACTCTGAATTCACAGGCACAGCCAAGATTGAGAATCACTAGTTCAACCAATTAGTCATTCATTCACTGTTACAGCATCTTCCATATACCAGGCTTTCTATTAGATTCTGAAGCTAGAGGACCCAGTAATTCCTAGCTCTCTTCTCCAGGGACTCAGAGTTCAAATCTCATTCAGATGGCAGCTAGTCAAATACCTGTCTGTTCCACAAACTCCAAAGTAAACAGTGATACTTCGTGGGACGGACTCTCACGCGAACCTTCTTCCTTATAGGGATCTGAAGTTAGATAATGTCATGCTGGATTCAGAAGGACACATCAAAATTGCTGACTTCGGGATGTGCAAGGAACATATGATGGATGGAGTCACGACGAGGACCTTCTGTGGGACGCCAGATTACATCGCCCCAGAGGTAGGCACCGCATGTCCCCATATTTTCTAGAAGAGCACTTTCAAACACAAGCACAACCCCTGCATGGAAGTGGGGGATCATTACTGAATCACTAAGTCAGAGTGTGGGCCACGGCCACCAAACAGACTCAACTAGACAAAATAGACTAAAATAGAACAAGGAAATAGGAAAGCACGTTGTACGTAGTAAGTCTGCGTCTTATTTCCTGGAACTTCTGTTCTTTGATGTCTAGTAAACAGTACTTCTTACATGGCCATGGTCAAAATAATCTAAGAGAAACTGTGGGGCAGGGGAGTTGCTGCTGAGCCTATTCTGCCTAGAAAAGCTGGGTTAGAAGGTGGTTGCCTTGATGGCTTTTTAGCAGCCCCCAAGTCGTGAGTGCTGTAAGCTCCATGGTGCTTAATCTAAGGAGGATGTATCCGTAGGGTTCCATAAGCAAAATGATTCCAAGATTGTATCTTTACAGTAGTGGGTTATACTGTTCTGTCTTTAGTTTGACCTTACTTAGGAATTCTCTTCTATTTTCTAATGCTTCCTACATGGCAGTGTAAACAGGTTATCACATGGGTCCTGGGTAGCCCCCTTTGTGTTCATACACAGCCCTGTGGATGCAATAGGCTTCCCACCCGCAGTGCAGCATGATGGAAAGCAGTAGATTCAAAGCTGGATCAGCCAGAGATCTTTGCAGATCCCTCATACTGCCTGTTGGTTTTGTATCCCATGTCTGTTCAACATATCACCCCTTGCGTTTCTCTCAGACACCGTAGGGACAGAGGAAAAGCCAGGTTTTGAAGTCAAAGCAATCTGAGCATTAATCTTGACTCTGTTATTATTGGGAATTCACACAAGTGTCTTGATTCTCTGAACCCCCTTCTCTTTCGTGGCAAGTTAAGGGTACTACAGTTCTCCCTGTAAGACCTGCTGTAAGAACTGAAGAGCCCAGTACTTATATTCTGTACCTGGTATACCATCATTATTTGTACCTAGTATGACCCCCAGGGGAAGTCATTTATTCCAGAAGGGAAGAAGAGTTTTATTCCTCTCTTAAGGACTTCTTGTTGTTGTTGTCATTGTCATTGTTGTTATTGTTGTTGTCGTTGTTGTTGTTACATTCCTGGACAACACGGTAACAAACCTTATTTAGAAATTCCAACTGTGAATGACATGGCCAGAGATGACTTTTTTCCTCAAAAAGATCACTCAGTACTTTCAGGCGTACCCTGAGGTTGGGTTTTTTCATATGTGAAGACTGGGGAGAAAAATACTATTTCTTGACACAGCGTGTTTTCTGAAGACTTCTGCTGGCTGCCAGCACTGAACAGGCCGTGGTTATGAGCTGTGTGGGCTCCAGCAGCAACCCACCAGGTGCCAGAAAAGCTTGGTGACAAAGCATGGCAGCATTTCTAGGAATGAAGGTGGCTTCGAACTTCATCTCCGTTAACAGCAGGTCTCCACCAATGGCACGGGTAGCTTCTTGGTTTCTGTAACACCTCCGCTGTCTGCTATCATCTGGAACGACAGCGTCCCGCGGAGATGAAGTTTTCCATATAATGAGAGTTTGCCTATCTGGGTGGCTTCGTTTTTGTATTAATTTCCTATTACTAACACATACTTTGCAGCTTCCAACACAAATTTAGCACCAAGTTCTAGAGGTCAGAAGTCCAAAATCAGTCTCCCCTGGTTAAAGTCAAATTGTCCATTCTGGAAGGGTTAGCGGGAACTGTTCCTCGCTGTTTGCGCCTTGTAGCAGCTGCCTGTATTCCCTGGCTCCGGGGGCCTTCATCCTCCTGTGAGCCATGTAGCCCTTCCGGTCTCTCCCTGTCACCTTCAGCCTGAATCCCTAAAGCTCCCCTCTTGTCTCGCAAGGACCCCATGCCGACTGTCGGCCCACCCAGATAATCTAGGGTCATCCGCTCCTCTCCAGACCCTCCTCTTACTCCTGCAGCATCCCTTTTCCTCTGTTAAAGTGACATTCACAGGTTCTGAGGATTAGGGTGGGGGCATCTGTGGGAGAAAGGGACATATTCCATCTCTGACACTCCTGATGGCACTTTATGTCGGATAACTGCCCACCTTCCTCTACCAGTCACTCCGAACAGACTCTTAGCCTGGTAACTTTGGGCCTCTTTGTATACGGGGAATAGCGTGTTCCTTCTCTGAACCCCCTCATTTCTCTTTTTAATTATTTTTATCAGTGTGCGTTTGCAGTACATAATGCTTGCTCTTCTTGTATGGAGTTGGTACACGTAGCTAACACATCTTAATTCCTTTTTTCATCCCCTCCCTCCTATCCTCCATCTCTTAATCCTCTTCTCATTTGAGAAAGAGGTATCTCCTTCTTACTGTCTTTTATTTTGCTGTTGATTCATTATTTATTGAAAGTTAAGCTCGTGTGTCTGATTTATTTCACTTAACATTGTGGTCTCAAGGTTCATTCATTTTCCTATAAATGGCTCAAGTTTATCCTTCTTTATTGCAGAGTCGTCCTCCACTGTGTGTAAATACTACATTTTCTTGATCCATTCATCTGCTGATGGGCATATAGGCTGCTTTCAGGGTTTCTCTGTTCTGAATTGTGTTGCTCTAAACAGGGGTATGCATGTATCACTGTAACATGATGTCTATAACTCTCTCGGAAAAATACCTAGGCCCTCCAAAATGAAAGACCCAGTCAACAAAAGGGGAAGTGAAGTAAATAGATACTTCACAGAAGAAGAGGTACAAATGGCCAATAAATACATGAAGAAACCCTCAATATCACTGGCCTTGAAAGAAACGCAAAATAACACAACAGAGATATCCTCTTGCCCCACAAAGAACGGCCATCATCAAAGAATCAAATAATAACAAATCCTGGGGAGGATGCAGAGAAAAGGGAACCGTTCTACACTGATGGTGGCAATGTAAACTAGTACACCTGCTGTGGAAATCAGTGTGGAGAGTCCTTGAAAAGCTAAAACCAGAAATTCCACTTGACCCAACCCCCTCATTTCTGAAGCCTTCATTTGTTTCTTCTCTGTAAGAGCAAGGAAAAGGAAGTGACCACCATTTATTCAGTGTCCGCCATGGGCCAAACACCATGTGTACTTTACCTTGGTTGTCATACCAAACCCCACAAGCGAGGCATCCTCAGGTCCTTGTTTCAGATGAGGTGAGTGAGGCAGAAAGAAATGTACCTAAGGCCACAGCACTAAGAAATGCCATAATTTGGCTTCAACCCCAAGCTCAGGCCATCTCCAGACCTTTGTATCAGGTTAGTAACCTTAGTTATTACGGGCTAATCAGGCCCACAATCTCCCAAACAAGTGGACGGTGAAGGCTTAAACAAAATGAGATAATTGAAATGATTGTAGGGCTCCAGGAGGGTCTAACTCTCTTACTGAATTCGAGATTCTCTGGGTTAAGATAAAAACTTCTCTGGGCAGCCCCTATTTATTTGGTTTACAAACAAAGGAGCAGTATAGTCTAGAAAACATGGGAATCTGAGCAGGACCTTGGGAGAATTTTCCCAAGTTGTAAATTATGTCACTCAGGAGAACTACCTTATCTTTAGGTTGCCATTTATCGTAGGAGTGTGGAGTCCGCAGGTGCAGTCTCCTTTAAGTTAACTGGGGTTGAAGCCGGATGTCCCCAGCTGTGGTCTTATCTTGTCTTTTGAGGTGTCACAGCTTCACAGGCCAGTACAGGCCTCAGCAGTGACCAGTGACTCATAGAGGTTCATTTACTATGAGTCCACTGCCCATCCCCAGACAAGGTGCCTAAGCTTCAGACAACTCATAAGTAAACACGGAAAGCCAACTGGTTAATATTAAATCCTGCTTGGAGCCACTTTGTAGTGGTCTCCAACACCTTTGCACCACTCGCTGCAGGAAACTGCTCGCAACCTGAGCAGCTGAGAAGCAGAGAGCATTCTGGGTGTTCCTTGTGCCAGCGTGGTGACTCCAGGGCTGCACAAGCACCTCAGACAGGCTCTCTTCTCAAGGAGTCACAGTTCGGAAGAGGGGACAGACGCTCCTGCAGATGGGCAGGACCCACGGGCCTTGTTCCGCATCCAGCTGACGAGCTGCCAGGGGAAATGGGCCAATAAGACTTTCAGGATGTTACACGTCTCCTAACCTTTTTTTCCCTTACAGCATATAGGAATTGGATATTTGGGGCCCTGAAATACTTGTAGTCTTGGGAAAAACCAGAGAGGTTCAAGGTTTCTGATTTTTCTCAAAGGTTAAAATAATTCTATCTTCTATGTAAATCTTCCTGTCAGGCAGAGGCAAAATAATTATCTTAAATGGCATTTTGCCTAATAGGCAGAGTGAAGCTTTAAATATTTATGACTATTTGGTCAAAACCCTTGAAATCAATTAATACTGTAGCATCTCCCTCACCAGGGAAGACCGACCGAGACGGCAAATGTCACTCAAAAATGGGACGGGAGCATTGAGACGAATGCCCATGAAAGGGGCACTAAGCAGGGCGATTCCCAAGGTGGACAGGAAGGGTCGTCTTTGCTTTGACACAGGAAGAATTCCTGGGGTCGGTGAGAGCCCTCGAGAAGGCTGAGCAGAGCTGCACGTGGCGCTAATCTCCCTCTGCAGGTTCGCTATTTCTGGTGTGTGCTCGCGCGGTCAAACACCACTGCAGGCAAGAGTCAGACTCCAAGTGTTAGCGTTGCCTTCCCCTTCCCGGAGGAAGGAGAAGCAGTGAGGAAAGTACTACTTTGGGCTGGGGTCCCTCTGGACACCCCTTGCTGCAGGGGAGCAAAGCTTCTTAAAAGCGTGCCGTGCAGGATCACCCTCACAGCCTTGCTGTGGCAGTGCGATGCTAGAAACATGCAGAGGACCCTTGTCCCCGTGGTGTGTTGGCTGTCCCCTCTAAGCAAATCTTGCCACACTGTGCACGTGAGCAGAGGCTCTGGGACTCACCCAGGATCACACAGCTGGCAGCAGACACAAAGGGGTTTGGAGCCGAGATGTTCTCACCCCAGGGCCCATACACTGTTCTTA